CCCAGCTACTTGGGACGGTGAGGCAGGAGAATCACTTAAACTTGGGAGGCGGAGGTGGTAGTGAGCTGAGATAGTGCCACTGCACTCCATCCTGGGTGACAGAGCAAGACTCTGTCCCAGTATCCGCCCGCCCAAAAATACAAAAAAAATTAGTTGGGCATGGTGGCATGTGCCTGTAACCCCAGCTACTCAGGAGGCTGAGGCAGAAGAATTGCTTGAACCTGGAAGGCAGAGGTTGCAGTGAGCTGAGATCACACCACTGCACTCCAGCCTGGGTGACAGAGTAAGAGTTTGTTTCAAAAAAAAAAAAAAAGCAAGAACATGTCTAGACAAAGACACAAATACATTCAAAAATGCATTAATTCATAGCAGCCCCAAACACAATCCAAATGTCGATAAACAGAATGACTAAACCAATTCTGGCATATTCCTACAACAGAGTATTACTCAGCAAGAAAAAGGAACAAACTGTTGACATATGGAATAATTGGATGAATCTCAAGTTAAGCAAATGACAACAGACATAAAAATAGTACATGTTTTATGATTTTATTTATACAAAAATCTAGAAAAGAAAAATCTGGGCTGGGCACAGTGGCTCATGCCTGTAATCCCAGCACATTCCAGCCCAGGTGACAGTACGAGACTCCATCTCAAAAAAAAAAAGAGACAAATCGGGCCAGGCGTGGTGGCTCATGCCTGTAATTCCAGCACTTTTGGAAGGCTGAGGCAGAAGGATCACTTCAGTCACCAGCCTGGGCAATATAGCAAAACCCTGTCTCTACAAAAAATACAAAAATGGGCTGGTGCGCTGGCTCAGTCCTGTAATCCCAGCACTTTGGGAGGCTAAGGCCTGCAGATCACCTGAGGTCGTGAGTTTGAGACCAGCCTGACCAACATAGAGAAACCTTGTCTCTACTAAAAATACAAAATTAGCCGGGCATGGTGGTGCAATCCTGTAATCCCAGCTACTTGGGAGGCTGAGACAGGAGAATCACTTGAATCCAGGAGGCAGAGGTTGTGGTGAGCCGAGATCGAGCCATTGCACTCCAGGCTGGGCAACAAGAGCAAAGCTCCATCTCAGGGGAAGAAAAAAAAGGTCGAGCACAGAGGCCGAGGTGGGTGGATCACGAGGTCAGGAGATTGAGCCCATCCTATCCAGCATGATGAAACCCTGTCTCTATAAAAAAAAAAAAATGAGCCGAGTAATGTGGCACATTCCTGTAGTTTCAGCTACTCAGGTGGCTGAGGTGGGGGGATTGTTTGAGCCAGTAAGTAGAGGTTGCAGTGAGTCGAGATTGCACCACTGCACTCCAGCCTGAGTGACAAAGCGAGACCCTGCCTCAAAAAAGAAAAAAAAGGACAAAAGACAAATCCAATCTATAACGACAGAGGACAGATAGGTGGTTTCCTGGAGAAGGAGGTGGAGGAGGAGAATCGTTTGGAAGTAACGCAGTAACTTTTGGGGGTGATAGAAATGTTCACTGTCTTAATTGTGAGGGTGATCAGATTAGCATATAAACTTAAAACCTACATTTTTTGGAATATAAGTTATACCAAAATAAAGGCAATTTAAAAATAAATACAATGAGATAACACTATACATACTCCCACTAGAATGTCTAAAGCTAAAAAGACTGGCTGGGTGCATTGGCTCACACCTGTATTCCCAGCACTGTGGGAGGGCAAGATGAGAGGATCACTTGAGCCCAGGAGTTCGAGACCAGCCTGAGCAACACAGTGAGACCCTGTCTCTACAAAAAATAAAATTAGCCAGGTGTGGTAGCATGCACTAGGGGTCCCAGCTACTTGCGGTGCTGAGGTGAGAAGACTGCATGGTGAGGTTGAGGCTGCAGGCTACTGCAGTCCAGGCTGGGCAACACAACAAAACCCTGTCTCAAACCACGTTGGAAAACAGGTTAGCAGCTCCTTGTATAAAAATATAAGCTTAACATATGACCCAGGAACTCTACTCCTAGCTATTTATCCAAGAATAATTCAAACTTGTCCATCCAATGACTGGCACATAAATGTTCATGACAAGTTTATTTCTAATAGTCCCCAAATGGAAATAACCCAAATGTCCATCACCAGATGAATGAAGAAATGTCCGGTACACCCATGCAATGGAAAATGATGAAAAGGAATGAACTACTAATATGTGCAACAATGCGATGAATTGCAAAAATAAACTGAGCAAAAGAAGCACCAAAGAGTACATACAGTATGATTTTACTTATATAATATTCTGGAGAATACAAAATAATATCCAAAAGTAGACTGTGACTGTAGGATGGAGGGGGTTGACTGCAAAGGAGTGTAAGTCATGGTGCTGCTAAATTGGTTCTCAACAAAGAAAGGAAAGGGAAAGGGAAACAGAAGGAAAGGAGAAACAAAGAAAGAATGAAAGGAAGGAAGGAGGGAGGAAGGGAGGGAAGGAAGGAAGGAAAAGAACACAAAAGAAAAGAAGGGAAAAAAGAAGAAAGAAAAGAAAGAAAAAGAAGGAAGGAAGCCCAGATTTGTGGTACTTACTGCTTTCTGTGGTGTAAATACTCCCACCATGACCAACTTTGAGCTTCTAATATGATGTTTCTAATGTAGATTTGGGAAGAGATGTACATATTTGGCTCCCGAGCTGGTACTAGCCAGCTCCAGCACATTATCTACCACAGAAAGGAACAAAGGTGATGAGATGGTCAGTATCTTGAATGTGTTAGTGGTAGCACAGGTTTATATATTTGTCAAAACTTACCAAACTGTACTCTTAAAATTATGTACTTTATCGCATGTAAATAATATTTCAAAAAGTTATGTTTCAAATAAAATATCAGCAACAACCCATACGCCCAATAACAAGGGTCTGGTTACCTTAGTTTACTGTCTATCCTTTTGATAGACTAGGATGCAGCCATTCAAACAACTTAGATTTCAGCAACACAGAAACATGTTTTGCTATACCGTATCATCTTTTGTGGCAGAATGGGAAATTTTATGTTTTTTATTTTTTATTTATTTATTTTTTTGAGACGGAGTTTCACTTTTGTTGCCCAGGCTGGAGTGCAATGGCACAATCTCGGCTCATGGCAACCTCCATCTCCTGGGTTCAAGCGATTCTCCTGCCTCAACCTCTCGAGTAGCTAGGATTACAGACATGTGCCACCATGCCCAGCTAATTTTGTATTTTTAGTAGAGATGGGGTTTCTCCATGATGGTCAGCTGGTCTCCAACTACTGACCTCAGGTAATCTACCCACCTTAGCCTCCCAAAGCGCTGGTATTACAGGCGTGAGCTACTCCGCCTGGCCAGGAAATTTTATTTTTACCATATGTTTGTCTATGCAAATTCTGTGGGCAGATAGATAACATCAGGCCTTCTGAAAGCAGTGTCATGAGTTAATTCTTTTCTTTGTATTTAGAAGCAGTACACAGCAAAATGACTGAGAGCCCACAATCTGTAGCCAGACTACCTGGGTTACTGTTCAGATCCCAGGTGTCACTTCTTCCAGCTGGGTGACCATAGGCAAGTAACCTAAACTCCTTGAGCCTTAGTTTCTTGACTGTAAAACAGGCACAATAGGAGTGCCTATCTTGGAGGGTTGCTGGGAGGATTACGTGAGTTACTATATGTAAAGAGCCTTAAACAATACAAAGAATAAGTGCTTTAAAGATATTAGGCTGGGTTTAGTGGCTCATGCCTACAATACGAGCACTTTGGGAGGTTCAGTTAAGCCTGGGAGTTTGAGACCAGCCTGGGCAAGACAAAACCCCATCTCTACAAAAAATACCAACGCCCCCACAAAAAGATTAGCCAGGTATGGTGGCATACACCTGTAGTCCCAGCTACTGAGGAGGCTGTGGTGGGAGGATCACTTGAGCGGGAGGTTCAAGGCTATAGTGTGATCACGTCACTGCACTCCAGCCTGGATGACAGAGCAAGACACTAGCTCAAAAAAAAAAAAAAAAAAGCTTATTATTTTCCTGAAGCAATGATATTGTTTGTGCAATAAAAATGCTTACCATGTGCTAGGCAGGGAACACAGAAATTTATATGACATGGCTTCTAACCTCGAGGAGCTATAAATGTGTTTCTTAATTGTGGGGATTGTTTGGGAAGGAATTCACCCCCTTCCTAGGAGACATTTTTTAACATCTGGAGACATTTTTTTATTGTCCCACCATGATTTGGTGGGAGGGGACCTGGTGGAACTTAGTGGACGGGGGCCAGAAATGCTGCTAGACCTTCTGAAATGCACAGGGCAGCCTCCCCACAAAAGAATTATGTGAGGGCAGACACAGTGGCTCACACCTGTAATCCCAGCACTTCGGAAGACCGAGGCGGGTAGATAGATCACTTGAGGCCAGGAGTTTGAGACGAGCCTGGGCAACATGGCAAAACCCAGTCTCTACAAAAAATGCAAAAATTAGCCAGGTGTGGTGGTGCATGCCTGTAATCCCAGCTACTCAGGTTATCTAGCTACTGGAAGAGGTTGCAGTAGCCAAGATCATGCCATGGCACTCCAGTCTGAACAAGAGTGAGATGCAGTCCGTCCCCACCCCCCAAAAAGAATTATGTTGTCCTAAATAATCAAGGTTGAGAAACCCTGAGTCATAGTATAACTCAGGACAAAAGATACATGTATACATACAAATTGTACAAGCAGATAATCAAAACAGAGCATTATGCAATTATATACATAAAAAAATAAAAACAGAAAATATTCGAATAGCCCTGACCCAGAGTACAGGATTCCCTGTGACACCTGGCCAGAAACAGAGGCCTCAGTGAGCTTCCAGTTTTGGGACCCAATGGACACACTTCAACAATTTACAATTTTTAGCTTATTCTATCAGTAGGTACCTTTTTTAAAGGTTAAGTCAAAGTTAAAAGGCTTCATTTCTGCATTACACTACCAGTGTGAAAATGCACTAGCTGGGGCGGGGGGGGGGGAGGATGATTAAAAAAAAAAAATACACGGGGCCAGTTCACATATATTTAATTCATATTACCATTTCAATGCAACTTGATAAAGAGTTGAGTCAATTTAAAATTCTTGGCCGGGCGCAGTGGCTCACGCATGTAATCCCAGCACCTTGAGAGGCCACGGAGGGTGGATCACCTGAGGTCAGGAGTTTGAGTCCAGCCTGACCAATATGGAGAAACCCTGTCTCTACCAAAAATACAAAATTAGCTGGGTGTGGTGGTGCATGCCTATAATCCCAGCCACTAGATAGGCTGAGGCAATAGAATCACTTGAACCCAGGATGCGGAGGTTGCAGTGAGCTGAGGTCGCACCACAGCACTACAGCCTGGGCAACAAGAGCAAAACTCTGTCTCAAAAAAAAAAAAAAAAAAAAAAAAAAAAAAAAAAAAAAAAAAAAAAAAAAAAAAAAAAAAAAAGGTCTTAAAAAGGTGGAGCAAAAAAATAAAAAAGGTTTTAAAAGATTTTCATGTCTATAATCCCAGAACCCTGGGAAGCCGAGGCAGGAGGATCACTTGAGTCCAGGAGTTCAAGGCCTGTCTGGGCAACATAGGGAGACCCTGTCTCTACAAAAAAATAAACAAAATTAGCCAGGCGCAATGGCTCACTAGTTCCAGCTTCTTGGGAGGCTAAGGCGGGAGGATTGTTTGAGCCCAGGAGGTTGAAGCTACAGTGAGCCAAGATCATGCCATTTTATTCCAGCATAGGCAAAAGAGCAAGACCCTGTCTCAATAAATAAATAAAATTATTAAGAGTACAGTTTTTACAGTTAACAAGAAATGATACATGGAAATACTTTGGTTTCCATTTAAAATAGAACTATCACCAGGTGCGGTGGCTCATCCCTGTAATCCCAGCACCTTGGGAGGCCAAGGCAGGCAGATCATGAGGTCAGGAGTTTGAGACCAGCCTGGCCAATATGGTGAAACCCTGTCTCTACTTAAAATACAAAAATTAGCTGGGCATGGTGACACGCACCTGTAATCCCAGCTACTAGCTACTAGCTGGGATTACAGGCACGCGCCACCACACTCAACTAACATGTTTTTTTTAGTAGTGATTGGGTTTCACCATGTTGGCCAGGATGGTCTCATTCTTCTGATCTCGTGATCGACCCACCTCAGCCTCCCACAGTGCTGGGATTACAGGCATGAGCCACTACACCTAATCCTTTTTTTCCTTTGAGACAGGATCTCGCTTTGTCACTCAGACTGGAATGCAGTGGCATGAAGAACTTGGTGACTGAAACAAGAGGGAAGCGTCCACTGGCGCCTACTAGATTTCTGGCTTGCACTGTGGAATGGGTAGTGATGCCACTTTGCAGTGTTTCCCAAGTGGGAGGAGTTGGCAGCCCCATGGTTTAGCAGAATGGGGAGGATTACACAGGGGACTTCAAGTTGCATTTTCTTGAACCATGCATGGGATTACATCAGGTGTTTCTTAGACAGAGTCTCACTGGAGTGCAGTGTTGCAATCTCAGCTTACTGCAGCCTCCACCTCCTGAATGCAAGCTAGGACTACAAACACGCACCACCATACCCACCTAATTTTTGTATTTTTTGTAGAGTTGCGGTCTCACCACTTTGCCCAGGCTGTCTCTACTTAACTCCTGAGATCAACAATCCGCTTGACTCAGCCTCCTAAAGTGCTGAGATTACAGGCATGAGCTACTGTGTACGCGGCCGCTTTCCTCTTTCTCAAATTATCAAAGTGATATGTGTTCCTCACTGCAGAAATTTTGAAAAGGAGTTAAACAGAAACCACCTGCAACCTCAAATTATATCCACCATTAAAATATTGACATATTTTCCCCAAGATAGTTTTTTTTATTTTTTTCTTGAGATGGAGTGTCGCTCTGTCGCCCAGGCTGGAGTGCAGTGGCACGATCTTGGCTCACTGCAACCTCCGCCTCCCAGGTTCAAGCGATTCTTCTGCCTCAGCCTCCTGAAGTACATGTCACCATGCCTGGCTAATTTTTAAAAATTGTATAGGTTGGGCATGGTGGTTTATGACTGTAATCCTAGCACTTTGAGAGGCCGAGGCAGGCAAATCACTTGAGGTCAGGAGTTTGAAACCAGCCTGGCCAACATAGTAAAACCTTGTCTCAAAATACAAAAAAAATAAATTAGCTGGGTGTGGTGGTAAGCAACTGTAATCCTAGCTACTTGGGAGGCTGAGGCAGAACCGCTTGAACCCGGGAGGTGGAGGTTGCAGTGAGCTGAGATCGCGCCACCGCACTCCAGCCCAGGTGACAGAGTGATACTCCATCTCAAAAAAAAAAAATAAATAAATAAAAATATTGGAGACAGGCTTTTGATCTTATTTCAGTTGCTTTAAAAATCCATTTGCCCTTACTGGTATTATCATGACTAATGTTGAGACAGAGGTCGCCCACCAAACTGCTGGAGAGCAGGGGAAAGTTGAAACAAATTATGTATAATTTGTAGTGTGGGTAATTCACGTAAAGACAATACCAAGATTTTCACGGATGTCATCTCACTTAATCTCCACTGACTTTTTTTTTTGGTGGGTGGGGGGTACAGTCTCACTGTCGCCCAGGCTAGAGTGCAGCGGCATCATCTCGGCTCACTGCAACTTCTGCCTTCTGGGTTCAAGTGATTCTCATGCCTCAGACTCCTGAGTAGCTGGGGTTACAGGCACACACCACCACACCTGCCTAATTTTTGAATTTTTTGTAGAGACAGGGTTTCACCATGTTGCCCAGGTTGTTCTTGAACTCCTGGCCTCAAGTGATCCACTTGCCTTGGCCTCCCAAAGTGTTGGGATTATAGGCGTGAGCCACCATGAGCGGCCAGTCTTCACTGCTTTCTTTTTTTTTTTTAAGATGGACATCCAGGCTTCAGTGCAGTGGCGCAATCTAGGCTCATTGCAACCTCCACCTCCCGGGTTCAGGCTATTCTCCTGCCTCAGCCTCCCAAGCAGCTGGGATTACAGATGCCCACCACCACACCCGGCTAATTTTGTATTTTAGTAGAGACTGGGTTTCACCGTGTTGGCCAGGCTGGTCTCCAACTCCTGACCTCAGGTGATCCATCTGCCTCAAGCTCCCAAAGTGCTGGGATTACAGGAGTGAGCCAGCATGCCTGGCCCAATCTTCATTGATTTCTAACAGTTACACACACAGGGCAATTCTTCCACAGTTAATAGATTAAGTAAAACACTGGGGTTAGGAAACTGCTAAGCCATGGAAAATCCACTAGTCACAGTATTGTGTGAGAAATGGTGTCCCTACACTTCTAGATTCAACTTGCAAAGATATATCTCTAGCAAAGAAAGACCACTTCTTCCTCTTTTATCGAAGAGTTGGCCAAACTTTCCTAATTCTTGGTGAAACCCTTCAGCAAAGTCAGACTTCCTCTTAGGTTTTCCCAGTGTGACTAGTGCAAGGCAATTATCTGACAAGCTCAAGCCATATGGTAATGGGCTTTGTGAACCAGCGACACCCAATTACCCCTATATCAGTAGTATGAAAATGAAACAATTCAGGAAATTCTTTGTTTTTATTTTTTCTTTTTTTGAGATAGAGTCTTGCTCTGTCGCCCAGACTGGAATGCAGTGGCACAGTCTTGGGCTCGCTACAACCTTTGCCTCCCAGGTTCAGGCAATTCTCCTGTCTCACCTTCCCAAGTAGCTGGGAATAGAGGTGAATGCCACCACACCCGGCTAATTTTTTTTTTAATTTTTAGTAGAGCAAGGTTTTACCACGTAGGCCAGGCTAGTCTCGAACTCCCGACTTTAAGTGATCTGCCCGCCTCGGCTTTCCAAAGGGCTGGGATTACAGACATGAGCCAACACACCTGGCCCTATTATTACATTTTTCCTATATCATTTTAAATTCTTAACCTGGAGCCCACTTACCAATGTCAAAGAATGTCAAGACACTGTATGCATACATTTTTTTTCGTTTTTTGAAACGGGGTCTTGCTCTGTCACCAGGCTGGAGTGCAGTGGTGCCATCTCGGCTCACTGCAACCTCTGCCTCCCAGGTTCAAGTGAATCTCCTGCCTTAGCCTCCCAAGAAGCTGGGACTACAGGTGCGTGCACGAGGCCCAGCTAATTTTCTGTATTTTAGTAGAGAGTGTTTCACCATGTTGGCCATGATGGTCTCTATCTCTTGACCTCGTGATCAACCACCTTGGCCTCCCAAAGTGCTGGCACCGCTCCTGGACCACATTTTTTAAAATATGCATTTTGCTTAAAAAAGGCATTCATGGCCGGGCGCGGTGGCTCACGCCTGTAATCCCAGCACTTTGGGAGGTCGAGGCGCGCGGATCACGATGTCAAGAGTTCAAGACCATCCTGGCCAACATGGTGAAACCCCGTTTCTACTAAAAATACAAAAATTAGATGGGCCTGGTGGCACACGCCTGTGGTTTCAGCTACTCGAGAGGCTAAGGCGGAAGAATCGCTTGAACCCAGGAGGCGGAGGTTGCAGTGAGCCGAAATTGCGCCATTGCACTCCAGACTGGCGACAGAGCAGGACTCTATCTTAAAAAAAAAAAAAAAAAAGACTTTCTTCCAGGGCTCATAATTAAAACAGGTCAAGAACCACCCTCCTTTATACCTGTACACACATTCTTTCTGGTTCGAAATTGGGCCTTTACAGGGACACTTTTGGAGGTTGAAACATTTCCATTCTGTTAAGCATCTGGTAGCTATGGATGGGGGTCTGAAAGGAGGAACCCATTAGCCCACCCTAAACAAGTCAGACCTTATCACAGCCCAGGTCTTAAGCCCTATATAAGCACGCCTAGGGATTCTTCGGAGAGGAAGCTCTTTTTAGGGACAAGGGCAGTCAGGATAGCTTGAGCCCATTCCCTACCAAGCCACTAACCGGGTGTGTGACCTTGGACAAGTTCCATACCCTCTCTGGGCTTCAGTTTCCACAGCTACACATTGGAAGTGGAGCCACATGGTCTTAAGGATCCGTCCCAGCAGAGCCGGGTACCGAGCCGATGTAGCCATTAAAGCAGTTTCCTGTGGGCGCGGCCGCAGGACTTTAACGGTCCCCCTCCCCCGCTCAGGCCCGCGAAAGCCTCGCTCATCACGCCCCTCGGAGCGACGGCGCTTACCCAACCGCAGCCACAGCGGTCGAACCCAGCTCCGCCTCTTCCCGGGGGCGTCCCATCGTGCCCCGCGCAAGGCTCCAAAGGCGGCCAGGCGCCTCCCGCCTTTCCGCGCCCCGACCCCGAACTCCTCTCCCTAGTTCTCCCGGGCACCCTATCCTATCAACGCCTAGTATCCCAGCCAATCGCGCGGGATCCGAGTCGTACCTTCGGTCCACCCTCCTTCCAGCGCTCAGCCGGTCTGAGCTCAAGGCCTTTACCAGGCCCACCCAATCAGCGGCCGGCTCTCTCCTGCCCCACCTCAATCTCCCTCCCCTCGGCCTATCCGTACGCTCCATTCCGCTGCCCGCCCAGCCAACCCGGGCCTTGAAACCAGCAGGCGAATGGGCGCGAGGCGGCCCTTCAACGCTGAGCACCTGGCCAATTGGGGATTCCGCGTGGCCAAGACGGCGGCCAATCGCTGTGGAGCGCGGCGCCGCCGCAGAGAGGTCCGGCCCGAATATCCCTCCGCCTTCCTCCCTCCCTCCCTCGCTCCCTTCTGAGCACCGCCTCCACTCACAGCCTCCCTTCCTTCTTTCTCCCTCCGCCTCCCGTGCACCAGCGCGCTGTGAGCTGCCCCCGGGGTCCCTCCCCCGCCGCCAGCAGCCCATTCGGAGGGAGGAAGGAAGGGAAGAGGAGAGGAAGAGAAGCTCGAGCGACTACCCAGAAAGAGCCGGTGAATGGGCTTGTGGTGACCCCCGCCCCCCACCCCACCCTCCCTTCCCACCCGACCCCCAACCCCCATCCCCAGTTCGAGCCGCCGCCCGAGAGGCCGGACCGTCGTCTTAGGAAGAGTCGCCGCCGCCGCCACCTCCGCCATGGAGCTGATCACCATCCTCGAGAAGACCGTGTCTCCCGGTAGGACGCGGGAGCCGGGGGTCGGGCTGAGGTGATTGGGGTGGGGGAGGGGAGGCCCGGCCCCTCTGACCCCGCTCTGTCTCCCACTTTCCTCCCCCTAGATCGGCTGGAGCTGGAAGCGGCGCAGAAGTTCCTGGAGCGTGCGGCCGTGGAGAACCTGGTGCGTGCTGCCCCTCCTCGCCCATCCCGCCGCGTCCCCATCCCCTGCGTGCGGGGCCTTCCCGCCCTCCCAGAGGCCCAGGCCTCAGGAACCCACCCCGCCCCATCCCGTCCCCCTTCCCCCCACCCGGTCCAACCTAACCCCGCCATCGGGAAGCCGGTGGGTGTGTCCCGCCCCGGGCCCCGCGGCTAGCCAATGGCGCGGCGCGCCGGGCTTCCTGCCGCCCAATCGCCGCGCGGCCTGAGGGCGGCGGTGCAGCGCGAGGGAGAAAGAGGGAGGGAAGGGAAGTTAGGTTGCGCGGCGCTGCGTGTTCAGCAGGGGTGGGGGTTGGGGAGCCGGGCCTAGGGGCCATGTGGAAGCTCCGGGCCCCGCCGCCCGCCCTGTCTGACCCCGGCCAGCTTCTCCTTCCTGTCCCGTGGCCCCTGTGGCCCTCCCCACCTATTTTCTAGAGCTCTGCCCTTTTTTAGCTCCGTTGGTTTGTGCTCATGGCCAGGCCTGGCACCCGACTGCCTCTTAACCCATTTCCACTAATATTTTTCCCTCTTCTGCCCGGTTATTCCTCTTGGGTATTTTTTTTTCTCTCTTTTTTTTCCCATTCTTTCTGACCTGGATGAGCAGAGACCTAATCACTAGGGATCTGCACCCAGACAACAGACTGAGGCTTATCTTTGAGATCGGGCCTATTTCCTGATGTAATCAAAGAGGAAAGTTCCTCGTTTTTCATATTTTAAAATTTAAGGAGTACAGAGAAAATGAAGCTAAGTGCGCTAGAGACTGGACCTCTGCATAAAAATGTGGAATGAATTGGTTGAAGTAGCCTGGGTGCCCGTTAAGTTTGCTGTCCATCTCCTGTTTGGGGATGGAGATGGGGACAGAGGGAAGGGTTGGATGATGCTTGACGTCTTTGAGAAAGGTAATAGGAAATAAGTCTGAATAACACTGTAACCATATGTGTTTCTTTGTGTTATATAGGCAAAATGTAAACAACAAAGTGACAAGGCTTATTTTATACAGACTGCCTTTGAAAGATTTATTTTTTTTCTTCCTCATGCGCCAGTTTTTACAAGTAACCTGTTTATCCTTTCCTAGAAAGTGATTTTTTCACTAGTATAGGCTGGTTAATTCCATTTAGGATATTATTCCTGTTTCTGCTTTTGCCAATTTTGCAAGAAGCTTTTTATCTTATTCCTAACATTCTTAACATTCTTTAGTGGTACATAAATAAAACTTTTAAGAATTATCTTCTGCGATTGCAGAACTTGTTAGCAGTAAGAATGTATCTGCTTTTGGCTTTTCCTGCTAATTTTGCTATTTGGGCACAGTGTTTCTTATGGAGAGAGAAGGGTGTGTGTGTTAAATTTTTAAACGAAAGGGAGTAGTTTTTGAGGCCAGTGGATTACAAAAGGTTACAAAAGAGAATGCTTTTCAGGGATCCACTGTATTCCTCAACTAAAGTCCAAATGTACAGGAGCAAGTAATTGTTGATTATTAGATACAAAGTTATTTTTATTGAACAACTTACCTGAACATTTTTTCTTTCAATTTTTCCCTGTTTTTACATATCTTATTATCACTTTCCCTCATAAATCCGCTTATTTCATTGTTCTCTTTTTGCTGAGTGCCCACAAATAAAACAGGACGAGGATTCTAAGTTTGTTTTAGATTTATCTATATTTTCCTCTCATAAAAGATTACATCCTTCCATGGGATAAAAAGCTACCCTGCTTCCATGGGATGGAAAGTTGGATCATTCTTTTTGGACCAAGGTTTTTGAAATTTAGATAAACAGTTTTGTTTTCTACCCCCATCATAACAGTCATTCATTCAACAAATATTTGTTTATTTATTTTGAGGCAGAGTCTAGCTCTGTCGCCCAGGCTAGAGTGCAGTGGTGTGGTCTCACCTCACTGCAACCTCCGCCTCCTGGGTTCAAGCAATTCTCCTGCCTCGGCCTTCCAAGTAGCTGGGATTACAGGCACCTGCCACCACACCCGGCTAATTTTTGTATTTTTGGTAGAGACGGGGTTTCACTGTGTTGGTCAGGCTGGTCTTGAACTCCTGATCTGGTGATCCACCTGCCTGCAGCCTCCCAAAGTGCTGGGATTATAGGTGTGAGCCACCATGCCCGGCCTTTCAACAAATATTTACTGAGTACCAGACGTTATTATATGTTCTTGGGACACCTCAGTATACATAGAAGAATGCACTGACTACCACCATTCTGTGAAACCTTGCAATTCAGTGGGTCTGACGTGACAATTTGGGCACTAAGATTGATCTTGATAAGAAAATCTGTAATTCTTCATTAAGTGCTAGGCTCCATGAGAAAAGTGGAAGACTTCCTGTTATACTAAGTAACATTTTTATAGAAGTCTTCAAGTAAATATTTTGTGGTTTCCTGAGATGCTCATGATATATCAAAAAAAAATTAGAAATTAGTTTCCCCCATCCCCAGTCCCCTCTGGTGTTTTAGTGTTCCATAAGTTATCCTCAGTTGTGGAAATTCCTAAGCTATTTTTATTATTTACAAATCTATCTTCCCTTAACAGCCCACTTTCCTTGTGGAACTGTCCAGAGTGCTAGCAAATCCAGGAAACAGTCAGGTTGCCAGAGTTGCAGCTGGTCTTCAAATCAAGAACTCCTTGACATCTAAAGATCCAGATATCAAGGCACAGTATCAGCAGAGGTGGCTTGCTATTGATGCTAATGCTCGACGAGAAGTCAAGAACTATGTAAGTAACATTCATCTGTTTGCTTAAACTGCCTGGAGAACAAGAAATCACTTTCTCAGTTCTTTTCCTGTTTGTATGGGATAGAGCTGACAGTCTGATAGGCTTCTGGGACCTGAACTTCACCTAAAGATAAAAATTGTCTTTGCTTTAAATCTTTCTCAATACAGCTTGTCCATTCCTGTTGATGGATTCGAATTCTTTTTTAGATGACTGAGGTAGGCTGCAGCAGTTTGGGAAACTTTAATTAGGTGCCATAATTTGTAAATTCTCTTTGGCAAATTAGAGTAGTACACAAATTGGTGCTGTCTACATCACTTAGGGAATTTGTTAATACGTATTTCCAAGCGCTCCAGAAATTCCGGTTTGATACTGGTGGAGTGCAGTTCAGGGATGTTTTTTGAACTGTCTTCCCAAGTGATTCTGCAGTCAGCCAGCACCTGCTCTTGTTGACATTCTGCTGTAGATGGTGGTTTAGACATGGTACTGTATAGAGTCAGAAGGAGAATTACGTCATGATCTTTTGGGCCTTCCAAGCCCAAAGGGTTTGTGAAATAGGAGTGCAACATTAATGGTGTTTTATCTACTTAGCAAGTTATGAAAAACTTTCTTCAAAAACACCTGAGTTTTTTACCAAGGCATTTAGAGTGGGATGCATTTGGGGGGAAAGGTGATGAATTTTGAATCATTACATTCTTGTTACTGTCTTGTAGAATTAGAAATTCATAGTTCCAGATGAAGCAAAGGATTCAGAATATATGGACTGGTGTGTTTTTTTTGGTTTTGTGTTTTGTTTTGTTTTTGAGACGGAGTCTCGCTCTGTTGTCCAGGCTGGAATGCAGTGGGGTGGTCTTGGTTCACTGCAACCTCTGCCTCCCAGGTTCAAGCGATTCTCCTGCCTCAGCCTCCTGACTAGCCAGGACTACAGGTGCCTGCCAGCATGCCCAGCTAATTTTTGTATTTTTTTTAGTAAAGACAAGGTTTCACGATATTGGCCAGGCTGGTCTCAAACTCCTGACCTCGTGATCCGCGTGCCTTGGCTTCCCAAAGTGCTGGTATCACAGGCATGAGCCACCATGCCCGGCCTTGTTGTTTTTTAATTTGTTGTTTTTTTAATTAAGTTCTTTAATGGTCTGTAAGGCACAAAGAGGAGTGAGATAACTATCTGTACAATTATCATTTTGTCCTTGGTATCTGAGTGGAAACCAGTGGGGAATTACTACATATGTACTTGTGCAGGTCACGGTTATGCACATCATACTTGCCATTTCCTGGTTCTAGATGTCAGCATTAGGTAAATAAGTGCCCTTTAAGGCAACAACTTCTCTATCTGGTTGTGTTTGCATACTCATGATAGGGAACCGGGTTATTAAATCCAACTTGGTTTCAAATCTTCTTTGGAATATGTAAAGCTGTTTTTATTCATGTTGGGTCTGCTTGTGTAATAATATTTTAACGTTTTGATTCCTTCTCCCTCAGCTAAGTGACATAAATGGAAGTTATCACTGGAAATCTCGATACTGATAGTGCCCATCTTTTTCAAATTATACACTAGTAAATGGGATGGGATGGAATTGGAATTGGCTTATTTTTTGGCACATCACTCTTAACACCAACCTTAAAAATAATTAGATAATAATGGCCGGGCGCAGCGGCTCATGCCTATAATCCCAGCACTTTGGGAGGCAGAGGCAGGCTGATCACCCGAGGTCAGGAGTTTGAGACCAGCCTGGCCAACATGGCCAAACCCTGTCTCTACTAAAAATAACAAAAATTACCTGGGTGTGGTGATGGGCGCTTGTAATCCCAGCTACTCGGGAGGCCGAGGCAGGAGTATCACTTGAACCTGGGAGGCAGAGGTTGTGGTGAGCCAAGATTACACCATTGCACTCCAGCCTGGGTGATAAAGTGAGACTCCGTCTCTTAAGAGAAAAGTAATAATAATTATATAGTAATTTTTATAGGCATGGTTAAGCCCTTGGACATGAAAAAAATAAATTACCTTGGCCTTTTTCCCTTTCATAGCACAACTGATAATACCAAGCTTCACAGTCAGTGATCTTTTTTGAAATCTGGATATTGGGACACAATTGAGAGCTAGTTTCTTATTTTATTCTGATAATTGAATATTACTATTAAGGTTACCTCTAGTTTAAACGGAAAACTTTTAGTACTCTGGAGTTGGAAATCTGTAGCTTCTAAATTACCTCAAGTATTATGGAGTCTTCAGAAAGCAATCAAAAGAAGAAAGGTAAAGGTAGAATGGCATTCAGTACGCCCCACATATGTACTAGAAGATGGTGAAGTGTGGTGTGAAGGTACCTTGGACTTGGGTTAATAATACCATTCGGCCCCTGACATTTTGGACAATTAACCTTGCTTTTTCCCCTCATTCCTTCATGTCTTTGACATATAGTTTTTGTCCGTTCTAGCTCTGCTAGTCCTTGAGATTTCTGATTTCATTTAGAATCAATCAGCACTGTTTGTTGTTGGTAGAGCTAAGGGGAGTGGGGGCCAGGTATGATGATATATACCATATAAGAAGGAAAAAGGGGGGGTTCATTATTAGTACTAGCTGCAAAGCAAGATACTAAGTGACCCGACCCAGTCAGCAGAGCTGGCCTGAATGTCTGGCAGCTATTCTTTGTCCTGTGTTCATGCCAGGAACAGTTAACTGTTTGCCTTTGAGTGGACTGGTGATTCTTAGTGAGTTCATTGACTGAATTAGCTGAGTGTTGTAACGATTAACTCTACGTAAATTGTGGCTTCATCTTTTATCATGCCTGTGCCTTTACCCTTTACGTAAATGCTGGTGTGGTACTGTGTCAAGTGACATGTTTAATGACAAGTGGATCTTCTTTTGACATCTGGCTAGTTTTTGGTATCTGTCAGTGGTACAGAATAGTTCTTTGATTCTTGGGCAAACAGAACAAATCCTTTCAGATTGGAAGTTACATAAAGATTAGTTCATAGGTGTTGTTATCATCAGCACCCTTGTTTTTGTGATGCTGTTACTTGACCAAGGCCTTTCTATGTAAGTCACCCAGAGTTGCTGCGTTGTCAGTGATTAAAAGGAAAAAGTTTTGTTTCAACTCATGTCTCATGAGTGAGATCTCCTCCTTGGATCAGGTTAGAGAGTGATCTGTAAATGAGACCCACCCGAATACCCCATAACTAGCTTCATTCTAAGTGTCCATGTCTGGCCACAAAACAAGGTTGTGAACATCCTTTCCTTATACCACCAACGATGAGCCTGGAAGATGAGTTTTGTGTGCCCATCTCTCTCCTTTGCCATTTACTGCTATCTCCCCTTATAACTGCTGGTTTCCTACCTCGTGTTGAAAGCTGAAGTGTGAGGTGTGTCGTTTTGGAGAATTCCTTTTGGAAGCCGGGGATGATTCGTTTTGTTTCTAGATTCTAGGGCAGTGTTGATTGTGCTAATGTTGCTACTGAGGCTGATTTTTTTCTGACAGCCTTTTCTACTTCTTGATATCATAGAGAAGAATTCTAAGACACTGCCCGTGTGCAGTGGCTCACACCTGTAATTCTAGCACTTTGGGAGGCCAGGGATTTGAGACCAGCCTGGGCAACATAGGGAGACCCCCATCTCTACTGAAGATCAAAAAAGTTGGCTGGGTACGGTGGTGTGTGCCTGTAGTCTAAGCTACTCTTGGAAGGCCTGGGAGGGCGAAGCTGCAGTATCATTGTGACACTACACTCCACCCTGGACAACACAGTGAGACCTTGTTTTTTCCTTTCCTTTTTTTTTTCTAAAGAGCCTGGGCAATATGGTGATGCCCTGTCTCTACAAAAAATAACTGGGTGTGTCGGCATGCCCACCACTGTAGTCCCAGCTACTCAGGAGGCTAAAGAGGGAGGGTAGATTGTGCAATAGAGGTTGAGGCTGCAGTGAGCTATGGTCATGCCACTGCTCTCCAGTCTGGGCAGCAGAGTGAGACCCTGTCTTAAGAAAAAAAAAAAAAATCAGAGACACTAAAATGTGGTCAAATAGCGTTAGAAATATGTATCTTTTGTCTTCTTTTGGTGCAGGTTTTGCAGACATTGGGCACAGAAACTTACCGGCCTAGTTCTGCCTCACAGTGTGTGGCTGGTATTGCTTGTGCAGAGATCCCAGTAAACCAGTGGCCAGAACTCATTCCTCAGCTGGTGGCCAATGTCACAAACCCCAACAGCACAGAGCACATGAAGGAGTCGACATTGGAAGCTATCGGTTATATTTGCCAAGATATAGTAAGTGCCTGCCTAATTTACCTGGTTTATATATCTCTGATTGCCTCTAGCTGTGACGTGAATGGTATTAGTACTACCTTATTGAACAACGAAGAAAACCAATTTAAATTGCACAATGTTTTGAAAGTAAGACTGATTTATTTCCCTTAGGCCTCTGTCTTCACATTGCTAATCATGCCCTAAAGTAAAGAAACCTGAGAACTACAAACTCAAAATGGAAGTCCATGTTTGAAGAAGCTTAGATTCTAGACATACAAAATGAGGAGATTCTCATTTGGAACATCCCTAACCCAATCCTTTTTCTTAAGATTCTGCATGTACCATGAATATTGTGGTACATTTTCATTTACTACTTTACAGAAAGTTTTGCCAACTCTTGATGTAGTTGGTTTAGCCACTGGAGACAGAGACGCAGCCCTCCTAGCACTGTTGTTCCTGATGAGGAGCACCACCACCTGTGGTGTCTATTTATATATATAGATAGATAGATAGACTTTATGAAGCAAAGGAGCACACAGCATTTGACCTGGACTTAGACTCCCTAGATGTGCCCAGGTGTTGATCCTTGGTCCTTAAATGTCCTGAAGCTTTACTTGAGCGTACAGATGGCCTGGCAGCCACTAGGCTGCCATCTTCATTTGCACATGGGGAAAAGCTAGTATTGCCTCATACCCACAGTCATTATGCTAAGAAGTCAAAGATGATGAGTTTGACTTGTTTTTGTTCAGTTTTGAACTGCCAATACCATGGGATACGCAGGTGGCTTGCAGTGCTATTCCCAAATGGAAATGGATGGGGAAAGAGCACCAAGTCATGATACTTTCTTGAGTGAATTTTACAGTTAAAAGCTGCCGATTAAGCCAGGCACAGTAGCATATACCTGTAGTCCCAGCTACTTGGGAAGCTGAGGTGGGAGGATTGCTTGAATCCAGGAATTTGAGGGCACAGTGCACTGTGATAGTGCCTGTGAATAGCCACTGCACTCCAGACTGGGCAACATAATGAGACACTGTCTTTTAAGAACAGAAAAAGACTGCTTGAGCTTCTTATGGCAGTCTTCTGGACGGGATTGATTCCAAGACCCTCCTCGGGTACCAAAATCCTCAGATGTTCAAATCTGTTACATAAAATGGTGTAATATTTGCATATAACCTATGCCCATCCTCCCATATACTTTAAATCAGCTCTAGAATATTTACAATACCTAATTTAATGTAAATGCTATATTAATAGTTGGTATACTGTATTAAGGGAATGATGACAAGAAAATGAAGGTGAATGTGCACCTTTTGATGCAGTACAAATGTAACTGCCCATTTTTTTTTTCCTCTGAATATTTTCAATCCATAGTTGCTTGAGTCCACAAATGTAGAACCTATGGCTGCAGGGGCCAACTGTATATTCATTGTACTTCTCTGCTTGTTACAGGACCCAGAGCAGCTACAAGATAAATCCAATGAGATTTTGACTGCCATAATCCAGGGGATGAGGAAAGAAGAGCCTAGTAATAATGTGAAGCTAGCTGCTACTAATGCACTCCTGAACTCATTGGAGTTCACCAAAGCAAACTTTGATAAAGAGGTAAGTTTTTTTTGACAAAGAGGTATAGATTCAGATAGTAAAGAATGAAAGAGTTAAATGAAAGTTTTTTGTTTTCTTAAGTTTATGATTTCGAAAGTACCCCCTTACTTAAAAGTATTTTGTTTACAGCTTAGTCAAGTTTGTGTTGTGTGAGATATGGCCATGGAGTGTTTGCCATTTCTCATCATGGTTTTGTAAATAAAGTATTTCTTAGCTTAGGTTTTTCCTTTTGCAGTCCAAAGTGTGGAATGTTGTTGGTTTTTTTTTAATTATAGGGTGTGGTGGTTCATATTTGTAGTCCTAGTTACTTCAGAGGCTGAGGCAGGAGGATTGCTTGAGGCCAGTTGTTCAGGCCAGCCTGGACAACAAAGTCAGATACCATCTCTTAAAAAAAAAGAAGCAAACAAATTATGGTATATCCTATATACTTTGTTTTATTTTAAAATTGCATGAATTTTCTGCCTTTTATTAAAGATTTTGTGGAGGCTGAGTGCCAGGGCTCACATCCATAATCCCAACACATTGGGCCACCAAGGCAAGAGGGCCACTTGAAACTAGGAGTTTGAGACTAGCCTGGGCAATGTAATAAGACCCTGTCTCTTAAAAAATAAAGATTTCTGTGGAGAGGAACAACTGAGTTTTTTAACCTGTTTTGTGAGCTCTTTGTTTACAGGGCTTATAATGGAAAAAAAAAAAAAGAAAAGAAAAAGGAAATAATTACAGTAACATATAGGCAGGTGCCCTGGCACATGCCTGTAATCCCAGCTATTTGGGAAGCTGAGGTGGGGATCTCTTGAGCCCAGAGTTCAAGGCTGCAAGATTATACCGCTGTACTCCAGCCTGGGCAACAGAGCAAGACTGTCTCAAAAAAATAAAATATATAAAGAGATATTTATAAACGTTTTGGCTGAAAATGCAATGCATAACATAAAATTTACCGTCTTAATCATTTTTAAATGTACAGTTAAGTAGATTCACATTGCTGTAGAAACAATCTACAGAACTTTTTCATCTTGCAAAACTGAAACTGTATATACTGAACAACAACAACTCATTTTCCCCTTTCTCAGTCACTGGTAACCATCATTTTACTTTCAGTTTCTATGTATTTTACTACTATAATGAAATACCTTATGTAAATGGAATCATATAGTGTTTGTCTTTTTGGGACTGGTTTGTTTTACTTAGTATGATGCGCTCAAGGTTCAGCTATGGGGTACCATTTGTCAAAATTCGCTTTTTAAGGGTGAATAATATTCCATTGTATGTATATGCCACATTTTGTTTAGTCATCTGTCCATGGACATTTGGCTTGCTTCCACTTTTTGGCTATTGTGGGTAATGCTGGTATGAACATGGGTATGCATGTGTATCTTTGAGACTCTGCTCTCTGTCCTTTTGGATAAATACCTACAAGTAATATTGTGGGGTTCATGGTCTGAAAGTATTTCTGTATATATGTTTGTTGACACTTTAGCTGACTTTTTACCATTTCTTGACTTCGGAAAGGTCTCAAACCCCAGAGGAAATGGCAATTCTAATTGATTAGAAAACTGGATTTTTCCTTAAAGATTTTGGAGGACTTAGGAGGGCAGCACATAAATGTCATTATTCTGTCCCCCCTTTTCTTTTCTCACCACATTTGATGTGAATTTGCTACCTCTCAGAAAACAAATTTGGTCTTTGAAATCAGATGTTTTGAATTATCTTATATTTTAACTATAGGGAAATTGATTTTCATACATGTAGATTTTTATCTTTTAGCCAACCATTTTTGTTTAAACCTTGTGACCTAGATTTTCCTGTTTCCTTCCTGAAGTCTTTGTTAGTGAAGGTTATTTTGGAGATTAAAAGATTAGGGACCTTATTGGAGGGCAGGTCATATAGCAGACACTGAGGGTAAACTCTTTCTGGCCTTTATAGTGCTATACCATCTCAAAAGAGAGTGACTTGACTGTACCAAGCAGAACTGTGTGGGGCCCTGAGGGAGCGAGAGGTTTTCCTTGTAGAAAGAGTCTGGAAATCTTCCTATGTACAGGTTATGCTCTCCTAATTCTCTTTATTTTTATTCTTCATACAGTCTGAAAGGCACTTTATTATGCAGGTGGTCTGTGAAGCCACACAGTGTCCAGATACGAGAGTAAGTGTGAAGTTATATGAAAAATATGTCTCACATCTTCCCTAGGAAGTGTCAAATCTAATATGTGTTTGAAATATTGGGAATCAGTTGACTTCAGCAATAAGGTTTGATTGATATTGTTATTAATAATATTCTATCTGGGCGTGGTGGCTCACATCTGTAATCCCAGTACTTTGTGAGGCAGCGACAGGCAGATTACTTGACGTCAGGAGTTTCAGACCAGTCTGACCAACACGGTGAAACCCTGTCTCTACTTAAAATACAAAAATTAGTCAGGTGTGGTGGCACATGCCTGTAGTCCCAGCTACTGGGGAGGCCAAGACACAAGAAGCACTTGAACCCAGAAGGCGAAAGTTGCAGTGAGCTGAGATCATGCCACTGCAAATAATATTAATAAAAACATTGGAGAAGAGGGAAGAATTGTAATGGAGTTGCCATCCTCTTAAAAAAAGGTTTAAGGGGCCAGGTGTGGTGGCTTACACTATATAATACCAGCAATTTGGGAGGCCAAGCGGAAGGATCACTGAGGTCAGGAGTTGGAGACCAGCCTGGGCGACATAGTGATACCATCTCTACGAAAAGTTGTATCTTCATAAATAAACAGTTAAAGGAGAAAAGGCTTTTGATCAGCTTAGCTACTTTATTGCCATAGGTTATTCAAGCCGTCTCTACTAAAAATATACATAGGTTTTTGATCGGTTTCACTACTTAATTGCCATAGGTTATTCAAGTGATTGTGTTCCACTGTAGCCATTAACTTTGCTATTGTTATAACTGAAACATGGCCCTTCAAGAAAGTAGAAGTAACATCTTCAGTCTGAATAGTATTAGTGAATTTAGCCCTGCCATGAGTTCCATGTGCACCTTTAATACAAAAAAAAAGAAAAAAAAAAAAAGGACTGAGGCTAGGTGCAGCTTAGGCCTATAATCCCAACACTTTACAGGCATATGCCTGGAATCCCAGCTACTCGGGAGGCTGATGCAGGAGAATTGCTTGAACCCGGGAGGCGGAGATTGCAGTGAGCCAAGATCACATCACTGTACTCCAGCCTGGGCGACAGCGAGATTCCATCTCAAAAAAAGAAAACTGAGTGTGGTAGCTCACACCAGTAATCCCAGCACTTTGGGATACCGAGGTCAGAGGATCACTTGAGCCCAGGAGTTAGAGACCAGCCTGGGCAACATGACAAAACTCGTGTTCACAAAAATTAGCTGTGTATGATGGGGCACACCTGTAGTTGGGGGATTGTTTGAGCCTGGCAGTTGAGGCAGCGGTGAGCTGTGATTGTGGCCACTACACTCGCACCTGGGCAACAGAGCAAGAAAAGTGTCTCAAAAAAGAGAAAAATGGCCAGGCACGGTGGCTCATGCCTACAATCCTAGCACTTTTTAGAAGGCTGAGGCAGGTGGATTTACTGAGCTCAGGAGTTTGAGATGAACCTGGGCTACATGGTGAAACTGCATCTCTACTAAAAATACAAAAATTAGCCAGGAGTGGTGGCACGCGCCTGTAATCCCAGCTACTCAGGAGGCTGAGGCAGGAGAATCGCTTGAACCTGGGAAGCGGAGATTGCAGGGAGCCAAGATCACGCCACTGCATTCCAGCCTGAGTGACAGAGCGAGACTCTCAAAAAATAAATAAATAATAAATAAATAAAAACAGAGAAAAGAAATGGGAAAATAGGAACAGATAATGAGAGAATTGAAGGGAGAGAGTGAGCTTTAGGGAAATGATAACATATCCCATATTTACCTCAATTAATCCTTAGGATTATTTGCCCATTTGAGTGAATCTACCTTTGTAAGATTTCATTGTTATCTTAGTAAACTATCTGATCTGATCTTCATAAAAGGTACGAGTGGCTGCTTTACAGAATCTGGTGAAGATAATGTCCTTATATTATCAATACATGGAGACGTATATGGGTCCTGCTCTTTTTGCAGTAAGTATTTCTCTCTGTAATTTGAGCTTGTAGCTAATTATAGAGCCCATCATTCTTAGTTGCTGTTTTGCCAGTTCTGTAATATTTTTCTTAATATTATAGAATCAAGGAAATTTCTTGAGACTGTTAGATTTAAACTTATCAGTGGTCTGCCAGGAAAACTGGTGCTAGCTTTGTGTGCGTAAAAGTCCTGCATTTTGAGGCCGGGTGCGGTGTCTCACACCTGTAATCCTAGCATTTTGGGAGGCTGAGGTGGGCGGATCACCTGAGGTCAGGAGTTCAAGACCAGCATAGCCAACATGGTGAAACCCTGTCTCTACTGAAAATACAAAAATGAGCCGAGCGTGGTAACACACACTTGTAATCCCAGCTACTCAGGAGGCTGAGGCTGGAGAATTGCTTGAACCTGGGAGGTAGAAGTTGCAGGGAGCCAAGATTGCGCCACTGCACTCCAACCTGGGCCACAGAGCAAGATTTCATCCCAAAAAAAAAAAAAAAGACTTGCATTTTGAAAATCTCAGGCTGGGTGTGGTGGTTTACGCCTGTAATCCCAGCACTTTGGGATTGCTTGAGTCCAGGAGTTCAAGACCAGCCTGGGCAACATGGTGAAACCTCGTCTCTACAAAAAATACGAAAATAACCTGGGTAAGGTGGCATGCACCTGTGGTCCCACCTACTAAGGAGACTGAGGTGGGAGGTTTGCTTGAGCCTGAGAGGTGGAGGTTGCAGTGAGCTGAGATTGTGCTACTGTACTCCAGCCTGGGTGACAGAGTGAGACCCCATCTCCAATAAAAAAGAAAGATCTTAACTTTTCTACCCTTTTTTCCAAGCATAGCTTGCTTTTTATAAGTTAATTTTCTTAAATAATTTGTGTGTCTATGGTTAAAGCCGGGTTTGGAGCAGGGGCTCACTTGAATCAGTACTTATTTGGGGCCTGGGGTGTTTTTTGGTTTTTTTAGATCACAATTGAAGCAATGAAAAGTGACATTGATGAAGTGGCCCTACAAGGGATAGAATTCTGGTCCAATGTCTGTGATGAGGAAATGGATTTGGCCATTGAGGCTTCAGAGGTGAGCAGGAGCTATTATTCTGACTAGACTTTGCATTTGTGGATGGTATTTCCCTTCTAGGAGAACTTTATTCTGTCTGGGCTTAGAGGGTATCTCCATTGGCAGAGATTTTGATTTTTCTGCTAGGCAGAGCCCTTCATGAAGGAGGCAAATCAGTAATGAGGGAATGAGCTCATTTTTGCCAAGCCGTCATGCATGCTTGATGGTAAACGGTGGTATTAGTGCTGTGAACACAAGGGGGCAGCAGGCCGTCACAGTTTACCAAGGTGATACCTGATGCTGAATTATTTCCTTTTGGAAGTCCTAATGCAAGCCTGGGATGTGTAATTGGTAGTTTACTAACTCTGGTGAAGGAGTCAGATGATACGGGGGAGAAGGAGGAGTTCTGTAATTGGAATCTTTGAATTCAAGTTTTGTTTCCAACTTTGTCTTTACACACTTTTATTTCAGAACAAAAAATAAAAGCTTTTATTTTTGGCATTCTTGCGCAAACTGGGTCCATCTGTTGATCCAAGGAACACTTAGATCTATCAGATTGTTAATATGGATTGAACTTATGAAAAAAAATTATGCTTAATGTTGCCTTGGACCTATAATATATGGCCTAAAAGATTCTCATTGAAGTAGACCAAAAAAAGAACACCTTCCGAGATCACACTGTATGTTACCATTTGTCCCTGTATGTTTCTGTTAAAAGATCCCCACTCAGCTCTCATTGTATGCCTTTAGTATACGCAGCTTGTTTGCTTTTGTCTAGAATTTGCTTTGCTTCTCCTCAGGCAGCAGAACAAGGACGGCCCCCTGAGCACACCAGCAAGTTTTATGCCAAGGGAGCACTGCAGTATCTGGTTCCAATCCTCACACAGACACTAACTAAACAGGTGAGTTACCTTCCAAATCTAGGTAGGTAAACTGTGAAACCTTACTAAGAGTAAACTGTTTGCTGTGGAACAGTTTCCATGGAAGGAACTTGGCAACTCATCAACTATTTGATGTGCTGTTGTGGATGACTCAGGAACAGCTAATCTGGATCTATAAGATCTCCTAGGCTCTGACTTGTTTGTGAAAGAGAACTGGGTCTTAACATCTCAGATGCGTCTTGCTCAGGAGCGAGCCACATGCTGCTCTGACTTCCTGAGTGCTCCATTGTCCAAACTCACAGAAGAGAGGTGCTCTATCAAAGCTTTTGTGAAACAAGGTTGGGAGCAAAGATGTGCTAGCTTTAGGCCACTTGTGTATCTGTTCTAATATCTAGGATACTTTTGTGAGTTCACAGGGTATATGTTTTTAAAATGCTAAGGAGGTTGGATATGACTTATTCAGATCTGAATGAAGGACCCAATTCATGAAAGAAACTCTTCTGCTGATCCTTTAAGATCATTAACGTCAATTATTAAGATTCAGGATGAAATTGAAGTGACAAAACTTCATAAAGATAGAGGTCTAATGAGTAAATATACGAGTTCTTTTGTAAGAACTGTGTCCTGGTTGCTTTGGTTCTCCTGACTTTATGCATCAGAGTGTTTTTTGATCTGGTGTTTGGGAGTATTACCAAAGAGCTGCTATTACTCTGAGGAAGCAATGCTGGTAACTGAGCACTGCAACATTTCTTTGTACACAGGAATGTAATTGTTTTTAGGGATGTGTATAATTCTCAGTATAGCAGTTTCAAAAGCCAAGTATAGATGTGCTTGGATTGAAATGAATGCACTGGGTGTTCCCTTAAATTTTCATCTCTCAGGTTTTGTTTGTTTGGTTTGTTTTTTGTTTTGTTTTTTTGAGATGGAGTCTTACTCTGTCACCCAGGCTGGAGTGCAATGGCGCAGTCTCAGCTCCTTGCAACCTCTGCCTCCTGGGTTTAAGTGATCCTCCCACATCAGCCTCCCAAGTAGCTGGAAGTTGCACACCACCATGCCCAGCTGATTTTTGTATTTCTAGCAGAGACAGGGTTTCACCTTGTGGGCCAGGCTGATCTTGAACCCCTGACATCAGGTGATCCGCCTGCCTTGACCTCCCAAAGTGCTGGGATTAGAGGTGTGAGCCAGTGTGCCTGGCCTATAGTTGCTATTTTTAGTCTTTTGACTTAGTAGCATTACTTTTGTATATTTTTATTGTGCTTTTCTTGTTTGAGAACAAATTGTTCTTTGATGGTTTCTGAAACTGCATAGACATCCTGCTTTGAATTACTATGTGGTGTGAATGGCCACAATTAGGAAGCTATACCTTGGATTCCAACTTAAGGGGAGATATTAGTGGCATCTTTCTCTTTTTTGAACCTTCTTATTTGTCTTTGTTTTTTGTATTTTGTTTTTTTGGTGGGGGGAACAGAGTCTTGCTCTGTCACCCAGGCTGGAGTGCAATGGTGCAATCTTGGCTCACTGCAACCATTATCTCCCAGGTTTAAGCGATTCTCTTGCCTCAGCCTCCCAAGTAGCTGGGATTAACAGGTGTGTGCCCCTCTGCCCAACTAATTTTTGTATTTTTAGTAGAGATGAGGTTTTACCATGTTGCCCAGGCTGGTCTTAAACTCCTGAACTCAAGTGATCTACCTGCTTTGGCCTCCCAAAGTGCTGGGATTACAGGTGTGAGCCACTGCGCCTCGCCTGATTTTTGAACTTTTGATTGAAACATGTCTTCTTCCCATTCATGAACTCCCTCACTTTCCTGGCCTTTTATCCCATAGGTTAATTTTTGTTGATTTTGGACTTTTCTGAGACAGAGTCTCACTCTGTCCCACAGGCTGGAGTGCAGTGGCCAATCTCTGCTCACTGCAACCTCTGCCTTCCAAGTTCAAGCAATTCTCCTGCCTCGGCCTCCTGAGTAGCTGGGACTACGGGCACATGCCACCACACCTGGCTAATTTTTATATTTTTAG